GGGGAGATAATCAACATAGGGGCATGGTTTGGTGACTTATATGGAGACCAAAAATTTGCATTCGTGTTTCATGGTATGATGATAACATGGACAACAATTAAATACTTCTAGAAGAATAAGCTGTTTGCAATGGAAAACATAAACATATAATTGGGCTTTAATAATTAAATTATCAAATGGATCTTTTATATTTTAAATAATCAAAAGTAATGATATATCATAAACTTAGTCTCATCAACAAGGCACTTTAATAAGCCATTCATAGTTTTGGACAAGATAAAACTTTCTATACATTAGCCTCAGAAATATAAACACACACATATACACACACCAAGCAGAAGACAGTTGGCTTGTCACTTATTTCTCATGATTATTTCAAAATTCTCTTTTGAAAATTCATATCTGTTAGGTTGGCAGCATTGTCTCTTTCTAATTTCTAATGGACTAAGCCACAGTAAGTCTCCAAGGGAGCAATTACAGTTTCATAAAAACCTTTAAAGACAGTCTGGCCTACCACTAGGACTTAATTAACAATTCTTGTTCTTCCTTTCTACACAGTTATTTTGGATAGCTGAAAACAATGTTCCCTGCAGAATATTTTCCTAGTATTCCATTCAAGAATCATCATTAGCAAACATACAAAATTAAACAAATCTTCAAAAGATCTAGGCAGTTTTTCTGAGTAAATAAATTTAAAATTTTAAGAACTTGTCAGGGGTCTCTCACAAAATGGCTCCCACAGAGCGGATGACTGGTCAAGAAACATTTATTACTAAAAAACTGTTTCCCTGTGATATGTGCACTCCATCATTGTTACTTACCTCTGATTTTCTGGACAAAGCATGTTGCAACCATTTTTATTTTCAAACTGAGTTGATGTGTCCTATCAAGTGGATCTCATAGCATTTTAGGAAAATAAAAGTAATCCTTTTTGTAGCATGCCAGCTTCTAATGTAATTTAAAAAATCTTTTAAAAACAACATTGCTGGGCAGGGAGCTTGGTTAATATTGGGGACATGCAGTATCTCCAAATCAGTGTTTCTTAACCTCAGTAATTCTAAAATGTGTGGATTTCAATTCCCAGAATTCCTCCAGACAGTCATTAACTCTGAGAATTGAAGTACATACATCTTGGAACTGCTGAGGTTGAGAAATACTGTTCCGAGCAATCCTAGGCTCATGGCCATTGCACTGCAATCCCATATAAGATATTGCTTTTATTTTAAAAAAATACTGGTAGTCTCATTTCTACATATTAGCCCAACATAGCTTAAGTAAAAGGCCCACGTGCCAGGAAAAAATGACTAACGATGAAGAGCTTTCATAGATGGGCATTTTTATTAATTCTCTAGCATTATCTCAAAAGCCCAACTGTGCTCCCACCTGAAGGTTTGCTTACCTGTAGCTTAGATTCAGGAAGTAAAATAGTTCTTACTGTTAATCATCTCATTCCAGCCCAAGAACAACTGTGGGATACTAAGAAACAAGCATGGGACTAAATCCCAAACTGCAGCTGATTCACTTCATCAACTCGGATAACCCACTTAGCTACTGACTCAGATTTCCCATGCCCAGAGTATGATTAATAATTCAAAACTCTAATCAACAGATAGCTCAGATAATGCTTCTATGCCGGGAGCAGTTCAGTTTTTGCATTGTTAGAGCAAACAGATCCTGGGTATTGCATGGTTTACAAAAAAAAATACATATTTTAAACTTAAGAGATTCTTGCCATCTTGCAAATGGAAATAATTTGAAACTTAACATTTCAAACTACAGCTGACATTTATATAATCATGATTTTTAAAAAATATAATTATCAGGGTTAGGAAAATAGTATTGGAGGGTTGAGTTAGGAGAGATTAATCTACTGTCTGGTGTGTGTGTGTGTGTGTGTGTGTGTGTAGGTTTTTGGTTTTTCGGGTTTTCTCTCGCGTAAAATTGGAAGTGTCTTGGTGACGTTTCGACAAAGTCCCATTCGTCATCTTCAGGCTGGTGTTTTCGGCTTCGTGCTTCTAGGAGCAATGTGTGATCGTAGCTGTTTCTTCCTTTTAACTGCCAGTGGGGATGTGAACTGATTGGGTGGGAGCTTGGCTGTGTTCTGATTGGGTGGAGGTGTGTTCTGATTGGTTAGGGGCTTGGCTGTGCTCTGATTGGATGGGGGTTTGGCTGTGCTCTGATTGGATGGGGGAGTGTTCTGTTTGGGTGGGGTCTTTGTTGTGCTTGGGTTAGTCTGAGTTGCAGAGGGATATGAGATGGTGAGCTGTGTTGCTGTTGTTTGGCTTCGCGTTCGTGGTCGTGCCTCATCTTCCTGGTGGATGTCAGTTTGCTTCATGTATGGATTGACAAACGAGTCCCTAACACCACACAGGATGTCACCATCACACATCCACGCAAAAAGCAAACCCAAAGCGACACCGATGATGAGGCACGACCACAAACCAGAAGCCAGACTACAGCTGCATCATTAGCCACTTTAAACCCCTCCAATCCATACATGAAGCAATCTGACACCCACCATGAAGATGAGGCCTATTATTATTCTGTAATAATACTAGTCTATAAGAGGTTTCCAATTCCACCAAGTTTGATGAAAAGCTTTCAGTAAAAGATTTTTGTCAACAGATTTGTAAATGCTTAAGTATATGAAACCTATTGAATCACTTCTACCCAGTGCTTGTTAACATATTAAATAACTCTAAAAGATTGTTGCAATCATATCACAGAAGATATTTCTTATGGAAAGGCAGTGTAGCAGTATTTCTCCCTAACTGCTTAGCTACTTTCAGTCCATCAGCTCTTACTTCAGCTTTTCTTTGCTTTACAAACCTATGAAGTTCATAAAAGTGAGGACTTGGTCATAAGTTACTTTTTATCACAATTGAAACTGCAAATGGTTGTTAAATGAGGTAGTTGCTGAAAAGGACTATCTAAACCTATTCGACCCTGATTAGGTACATGTAAAAGATCAACTAAGAAAGGCTCATTCTGCCACCTATAATGTTTTCCAACTATTTGTCTGAAACAAGATGGTATACCCTGAAGTTTGTATTTTTTTGTCTCCTCCCAAACACGCAGATATAGTATATTCATGTTCTGTTAAATTTGAAACTGCCATTCTTGGAATTTCATATCTTGACAAATAGATTTCTCTTAACTTCTCAAATGCCTCTCTTTCCCATCCCCAAAATGTTCAGATTTGGATATCAATCCAATTCTTTTACATTGTAGATTAAGACAAATATCCCTACTTCTTCTAGAAATATCTATTACTTTAGCAGTTCCATAAAACATTTGTTTTCTCTGTTCAAATTATTTATTTAGTTTGTTTGCTGATTTAAAAGTCTATTTTTATTTTTGTAGCTGCAGAATTGCATTTCAAAGTTTTAGTTTCCCAGAAGCTAGAGATGAAGTAGCTAATGCTATGATGTTGTGAAAGTAGGGACGGTCAAATTTTTCTGCCTTTTAAGAGCTGGGGTTTTTTTTAACAAAGAGGTCTTAATCCTTCCTGAGATGTATGGCATTGATTTGTTTCTTCAATTCTGCCAAAATGAAAAAAATATCAGTGTAATTTTGAATGGATTTGAAGAATAAAATATATTTTTAAGCATTGAAAAGGCTTAAGGCAGCCACTTTGACCCTTAAAATCTTTATTTTCCAACATAAAAAAACCCTTAAAAAATAAGCCCCACCCACTTCAACGGTGTTTTGGGAGCCCAAAGAAATCCTGGGGTCCATATCCTGCTAACTCCTGTTCTGTTCTTCAAATTAACATTTTTTGCAATATAATGCTTGTCTCCATATGGCTTAGCTCTTTTTCTGTTCTCATTTGGCAACTTAAATTGAAATTACCTTAGCTTTTTAAGGTTCCTTAGTACCTTCTGATTACTAAGTAACCTTTTAGAGTTTTTAATATGCTAAAATTTTGTTTTAGTTATTTGGAGCGATACCCTCTTAATCCTCCTTTTCAGTGGAGATTTACTTGTATTTCTCTGCCAGGGACATTTTGTTCTGAAGTCTCTGTACAGTTGGCTATACTGTAATGCTATATCCAGGGCTCACCTGACCATGATAACTTATATAGAAATGAATCTCGACAGCAAATATAGATTACTCAATAATGCGAGTTACTATGATTACAGGTATTTCAAAATTAAATCTCAAATTCAGGGGAGTGTATCATTCTATCTATCTAAATTCAATAAAATAAAAATCAATAGAGTAAGAAAAAGAAAAAAAATATACAAAGAAATAGCTTCCAATCTCTACAGCAATTAAAAGTACATTTATAAATGTATCTCTTTCAGTGGAGTGTATCATAGTGTATTTAAGATTATAATCTCAGAATTGATGGGTACATTTGATTTATTTCAGATACAAGCTGTACAATTGTCCATAAATTTCAGTGATCCAGGATATAAGAATATCTACTCGGAAGTTAATTTCAATTCTTAGTATAATAAAACATGCAGATGAAAAGTCACGACAAGAAAGGGTCAGTTTGGTCTAGTGGTTAAGGCACCAGGATAGAAACTGGGAGACTGTGAGTTCTAGTACTGTCCTAGACATGAAACCTGCCTGGATGACTGGGACAGTCTCTCTCTGTTCAACTCCCCTCACAGTGTTGTTGTTGTGGGAAAAAATAATAAAGGTGGGATAAAAAAAATCTAAAATAAAAAAGGCATATTCAAGTGCAATATAAAAAAACAAAGGTAAGTAAATAGGAAAACAACACTCAAAGTCTCCCATCTCTCTCTAGAACAGGCAACTTTAACAATGACTTTTTGTACTTTGACAAGTACAAAATATAACAGTGAAGTCATTTCTCAGTTACTCAACAAAGAGACACACTAATACATTATGTACTATTACTAAATATACATTTTCTCCAAGGCAGAAGAAAAGATTGACTTAATTAAACAGTGTAAAAAATACATATCCTTGAATAAAAAAAACATCCCTCTAAAATGGGGGGCAGCGGAGGGGGAATGTGAATTTACCCAGAAGCTCCAATCTGCATTCCAGTTATTTGGAGATGTTGGCTGCATTTTCTCAGTGAAAACACTAAGATTCTCTTCTGAATCCACCAGTATGTGGCTGATGAGGCCATGGTCTGCTTCATGAAGGGCCTGTAAACAAGGAATATAATATGGTATTTTAATGAGACAAAGGTAAAAATCCAGAATTCCTAAATAAAATGAGAGGATCAAAGAATAAGCATCCCTTTCTGCCTAGATTGGAGCATTTAATAGGTTTTTCTCCTCTAGTTCAATGCATTTTATTATTCTTATATATAATCAACAGTCTACTATGTTCCATATTTTATCACTGTTTTCCTCAATTGTTTATCTTCAATTTTATTTTAGTGCACTTTGAAAGGCTTTAAAAGCTTATTGTATTGTAAGTTTAATAAGTGAAATAAGCACCTGGAGAAATATATTTTCTTTCTAGACACCATGTTATTTTAGACAATCCAAAGCTAAAAGGGTTTGGTCATATTTACACACACACACACACACACACACACACACACACACACACATTTTTTTTTACATCCCAAAGAAAGGAGACATTTTACATTTACGAGTTAAGCTTACAAAATATTTAGAATCAAAATAATTACATCACACCAGAATAGAATAGAATAGAATAGAATAGAAGCTGGAAGGGACCTTGGAGGTCATCTAGTCCAGCCCCCTGCTCAAGCAGAAGGACCTATACCATCTCAGACAAGTGACTGTTTAGCCTCTTCTTAAAAATCTCCAGTGATGGAGAGCCCACGATTTCTGGGGGCAAGCTGTTCCACGGTTAATTGTCCTCACTGTCAGAAAGTTTCTCCTTAATTCCAGGTTGCTTCTCTCTTTGATCAATTTCCAACCATTGTTTCTTGTTCTGCCCTCTGGTTCTTTGGTGAATCAGAGGACACCCTCTTCTTGGTGGCAGCCCTCAAGTACTGGAATACTGCTATCATGTCTCTCCTATTTCTTCTTTCTTTAGACTAGCGGCTAGCCGAACCCAACTCCTGCAGTTGTTCTTCGTATGTTTTAGTCTCCAGGACTTTTGATCATCTTAGTTGCTCTCAATATCTTTTTTGTAATATGGTGAGCAAAATTGGCTGCAGTATTCCAGGTATGGTCTTACTAGGGTTTCACGAATCAAAATATTTTAAATCACATCACACCCTTTTAAATTAAGAGTAGCAGACAACTAGAACCTGGCAAAACTGCTGCATCTTTGCCAATGGAAGAAAGGCACAAGGAATTCTTCCCATTCCCCATCTGGATGACAGGAAATTCTTCCCTTTTAAATATATATATAGTTTGTTATGCTAAAGATACAGAAGGGAGTGAATGAGAGTCGAGGCCAAGACCAACGGGACAGAAAAGGTTTTGGCGATCCTAGCCAGCGACGGAAAAGGCGATCGAGAAATAACTTTCCCCCTTTTTCTTTTAGATCTCCAAAGTGACTCCGCCACTTTTTCAGCAACCGTCGCCGGGAGACGAAAACGCGGCCGCTGTCAGAGGGCGACTGAGAAAACAGACGCGCACTTTCAATCCGACATCCCCAAAGGCCATCAGTTGTTTTTACTGTACGCTAAACTTTAAATCCAGCTGCCCATAAAAAGACCGGAGGGGGGGAAAGGGCCTCTTACCATGGAGAGAAGAAGGATGCAACCCGCAAGCGGACCCGAGCGCCATTCGCTCGCAACGCTTCTCTTCCCCTCAGCTTAAAGGGCCAGCAGCACCAAAGCAGAACGACCACGCAAGAGCTCTCTCGGCCGAAGTGGCCCGCTCTCCCGAAGACCAGCAGGAAGGCACAATTGCACAGTAAGATTCCTGGGCTCTGCTAGGGCTCCTCTGGAAAGAATCAGCCCTCACTCAGCCAAGGGAGAAGCTACTGTGTGAGATGGGCAGCAGGCAAATTTAATAAATGCTGCTAGTGAATCTGAGCAGACAATAGAATTGAAATCAATCTGGAAGTTCTCCTTTTTTGATTTTGAAAAAGGAAGGTGTACCACTTTTTATCCATACAAAATTTTTGAAAAAATATTCATTCTCTGTTTTCCTGTCTTTTTTGCTCATTTAGAAAATTAATAAAATTAAAATTAATCCATCGTTTTTAAGTGATTATCCTTGGTGAAACATAACAAAGAAGAGTTCTTTGTATGCTTTTTTGACTTTGCAGTTGTTCTCCATCATTGGAATAGTGTATATGCTGAGTCAGATTTGATTTATTAAAACATAAAAGTAAATTCTAGATTGAAGTTTTCAGTCTACATTGCTTACATCTAGTAGTGAAAAGAATATTTCTGCGTGTTATTTATTGTACAGTAATTTAAATTTGCCCTCAAACTGCACTTAAGCATAATTAACTAAACTGTTTATTCAACCCATTGTCCATCAGTTGTTCATCATGGTCTGATTATTATTTGATTAGTTTTTTGGAAGGGAGGTGGGTGGTTTAGGGACTGTTTGGTTCCAGATGAAACCATGGTTTTTTCCCCCTAAAAATCTGGTGGTCAGTTCAACTGAGGCCTTAGTTTTGGCCTGGAATTGGCAAGTGACAAGGGTTGGATTGCTGCCATGTGACATCTGCCTAAGAGTCAATCCCAGAGAGTTGCTTGGTTTTTTCAGCAGATCTAGAAGATAAAACAACAGAGATGTTTAGACTGCCATTGGAGGAAGACAGTCAGCTAAGGTATGCTGGTTGGATTCACTGACTGGCTTCCTCCAATGGGGATTTCATTGCAGTGACAAGTCCAGCAAAGCCTACCATTTTTCCATTTTCACTGTACCCATAGATATCCATCCAACTCTATTCTTTAAAGTTATCATTCATTAGTATGAAGGAGTGGGTTATAGGACCATCTTCTGGGTTTCTGTGAAGAATATCCTAGGTACCTGATGGATTAAGTTTCTCAAGTTCAGTCAGAGTTAGATTCATACTGGTCTGGTCTGGTTGAGATGACAAAATAACAGTCTTGCTTCCCTAGCTGAGAAAAGTCTGATTGTGTGATTCCTTAAGAACTAGCAAGATCCTCAAGAGCATTAACATGGCCACATATTTGGTTAGATCTATGTCCGTCTGGATCAGTGAAAGCCTCCCAGAAAATAATGTGATTAGGTCCATTATATAATACAGCTTCTTTTTAAAAGGGTATGGTATATATCCTCAAGAAGCATACACTGAATCCATTGGTTTAGAGGCATCAACAGCATGCCAATGATACTCAGATGTTTTCCCCAATTCAAGGCTGACTAAGAGATGCAAGATTTGTTCCAATGCCTGAAGGCTATTGAGGTCTGGGTGGGAAGGAGCAGACTCATGTCCAACCTTAACAAGGCCAAAGGACTGTAAGTGTAGGGTTTAGCCAGATTTAGGAAATGTTCATCCTTAGTTGGGAGTCATCCTTCTCCTTCAGGACTGATGTAGAATTCAGGACTGGTGTAGAATTCTTCTGGAATTTCAGCTCCTGTTGGCAGCTGTGACAAGCAAGACCTTTGTACGGATCCATCTGGAGTATCAGATGTGCCCATTCTTATATGGAGAAGCCTTCCTCATTATCACCCATGCCTTGCTGTACATGAGGATGCCCTTAAAAACTATCCAGAATGTGGCTGTGCAAGCAATAACAGGAATACCTCAATATAGTCATGTAACATCCCTTTGTAAACTACACTGTCTGCCAGTAAGCTTCTAGGCACAATTCAAGATGCTGGTGATTAGCCCTACATGACATTCATTAAGAAATGTTGTCTGATCAGCTCCTAGAAATGTGCCTTGATTGTTGCATAAACTGGAATGACTTGATCAGAAGAGACCCTCTTGATATCTGAACAGCCCCTACACTACTCTCCTTCAAGCAAGCCTTAAATATCTAGAATTTCCCTCTAGACATAGACTATGGATGGCTGCTTTGGAGAGGAGAGGGTGTGGCACATGTTATGGGTTGTTCTCTCTAGGTTAAGTATTTTGCCTCCCTCAATGGTTTTCATATATTGTTTTAATTCTATCCTCAGAATTGTCTAGAGTTAAACAGCCTTACTAATATAATTTATAAATACTTTCCCTAAAAACAAATTTAACAGCATTTCAAAGACCATTTCCTCCCAGTATTAAGTACTAATCATTCATTACTGCAGCATATTCTTCATATAAGAACTACAACAGAAAAAAAAGTTTTCTGGTTCCAAGCCACTGAGCTAGAGCAGTCTTCCCTAATCCATAGACAGAATTTCAACTTCCCAAATTGCAAGGCAGTATAATAGCAAAAAGGTTAAGATCTATTGTTAGTATCTTTATGCAGGTTTTATTTTGTGGGATTTATGAAGCTTACCAATAATTGAACAAGGCATGGTGCTGCATTTTTATAGGCCAACATATCACTCAGCACTAGATTTTAAGAAAAGGGTATTAAATAAATAATTTGCTAATCACCCTAAGATGATTTTAACTAGAATTTAAAAAAAAACAGTATTTAAATACTGTATATATTTGTACTGGGAGCATTTTTCTGCTCTCATTTTGTTCACATTCTTCAGGTGTTCTCCCTCCCCTTCTATGAATGCATTATGGCTAGAATATATTTATAGAAAAGTTGATATTCACAGTTTTATCAAAAAATGTGTTGCCAGAAGCTTCTCAAGTCATAAGACTCTGTTTGTGAATTAATTGAACTTAATAAAAAACCTGCAAATATAAATTTAGACCTGGAATATTGGCATTTGTTCAAAATGGGAAAATAATGTAAATGTTTCCAGTAAATAAGGTTTTACCTATTATGTTGACATAAATTCCAAGCTAAACCATAGGTTCCTATGCAGAATATTTCACATTTTATACTATTCATGATGACCTCCCCCAGCCCTCTATAGTATATAAAGCACAAGAAAGCATTGGTTTTAGAATAAAACTGAAATATGGTAAACAAAGCTATTTCTTCCATTGTTCATCTTTTAATTGTTTTGATCTTCATATACCAACATCACTCTAACACTTTTCTTCCTTAGGTTAGGAAAAGATTGATGGAGCAACTCTCACATTCATAGAATTGATATTATGTGCATTTCAGGGCATTGTCATGGTTATATTTGTAGAATAGCAGCATTTGTGGTAAACTAGTATAACTGTGATTTTTTGAATCCAGATCCAGAAATTTACTCATCTGTAAATTTTCACAATGTGCTAGACTAAAATGAAGAAAGGCTGAAAAGAGAAATGCAGATATGCAATTGTTTATAGAACATCAAAGAGAAATACGATAAGAATCTGTGGAGAATGTCAGAGGAGTATGGATTTCTGTATGTGAACTTCAGTGTGTTCAACTTCAAATGATCATTGTTGTGTCCTGAGCCTGCAAAAGCAGGCTCGGGACGTTACTTTGGTCCCGGGCATTCCAAAAGCTGCCTGGGACCAGACTGAGAGGCGCCAGCCTTGCGCACATGCACAAGGTGCGAAAGCGCTCCGCTAATTGTTGCCATTGTGTCCAGGGCTCTGGGCAGATAAAGAGAGGCCTGCGTGACGTTGCTCATTGTTGTGGTTTTGCTGTTAAACAAATAAAGAGCTGTTAACTGTACAATGAGTCTTCATCATTCGCCCATGATCAAAGGATTTAACAATCATAGCATCCCATTTATGTGGACTTTAAAATGAGCCATGTCTAAGAGTCATTTCTTTGAAAACTGCTGTGAGCTCAGCAAGAACCGCAAAAGCTACAAGTTACTACAAGTGAGGCAACAATCTCAAGTGAGGGACAAGTGAGTCAAGGATATAATAAAGTGGGTTCTGCTGATTCTTAAATAGCCCTCCTAAACCTGTGCTCTTCAAAAGTATGGAAACTACAACTCCCAGAATTACCTATGAGCATGAGACTTTGGGCGTTGCCATCCCAACCTAGCTGAAGAAAGGGAGAAGGGCTGGCATGCTTGTTTGGGAATGCTGGGGCTGGTAGTTCAGCAGAAGCCCAGACCAAACAGTCTAGCGGGAAGGCTGGCTACCCAGCAGCTTGTATTCAGGGCAGCTCTGCAATGTTGTCTGAAGGCGCTGGACCTCAGTATCCTGTCATGGGCAATCCGAAGACGCTTGGCAGGCTGCGGGAACCTTGAGTTCAGGGTAGTCCTCTAGGAGACTGGCCGCCAGAAGATGGCGCTGTTATATCAACGTAGTCACAATAGGACTGCGTATCTCCACCAAGTGGGAGTTGGTGGTAGAAACAAGCGCCTCGTGCCTCTGCCTTCGTAAGAAGTCTGCGTAGTTTCCTCGCGCTGGAAAGTCCTGGAAAGTTTTTATTTCTCCCCCAATCAGAAAGGGGCTCTGCTTAATGATTGTATTGCTGATCCCATTTGTGGTTATTACATGAAAACTACGTGTACCCTTAGGTATCTTTGTTTATACTGTGTCATAACCTTACCAGAATGGTTATGTTCCAACACTTTGCAGTCTTTCTGCTATAAGAATAACTCTAAATTAAATTGGTTTAGTTCTAATATGTATTTAGAATTGTCATAATGGTGCGAGCAAGTATATTGAGCAAATTACACTAGTCTTGATGATTAAAGCATGATTCAAATCTCAGGTCAGAAATAAAAAGTCACTGCTGTTATTGTGAACAATTTATCAAATGAAATCATTATTGGTATTGATGAAAGTTAGCCCAGAAGGAAATATTAAAAAGGGCAGAAAAATATATTTTTCCTCAAAAGGACTTTTTAAAACCAAACTTGGCCCCAAATCTATCTCTCTGCCCCAAGCAAGACTTTAGCCCTATACAAATGCAAATGTAAAACCATCAGAAAGTTGGAGCTAGAGCAATCAAGAAGACAAAAGAGAAGATCTGCATACCCCACCCAAACTCTAGGAGTCAGCCCCATCACCTGGGAAGCAGGATATGATAACAGAATTAAACCACAGATATCAAGGCCTAGACAAACACTCAGAAACAGTCTCAAGGTTCATGCCACAGGAACAGGAAACTATTCCAAACAAAAGGCTAGGGGGGGTATAAAACCTACTGCCCATGTGCTCTCTCTGCCCTTCTCTGCCCTCCATCTCTCCTCTGCACTTTCCTGAAGAACCATCTTTCTGCAATAAACTGTAACCTTCTTCCCAAAGCAGTCACCATGTTTGCTTATTTATTCCCGGCTTGGATGAACCAGGATGAAGACCTTACTTCTAACAATTTGGCACCCCAGATGGGACTCCGGGCTAACCTCTCCAATGGACTGAGACTGGTAAGCCCCATCTTGCCAGCAGCAGACCCCCTTGTGTCTGTGGATGGGTTTCCCAGGCCTTGCCTATGTGGAGCTAGGGTAGTAAAGGGAGTTTTGAGAGTTTGAGCTCAAGGGCTGCTTTGGAAAGAAGATGAAGATGAGTACCTCTAAATTTTAAGTTAAAAGCCCAGGGGAACAAAGAAAATGTGTGTATTTCTGTTTGGGTGAGTGAGAAGATCTTTTTTTTCCCAATCACAGTTGGATTTTGCTCCTTCTGGTCTTTCCTAGCTGCAGAAAGGATCTGTTTAATTGGCAGAACCTGGACAGCATGGGGGTTGGCCAGAGCACAGAACCTTTTGTTAGGGAAAAGGGAGAGACTGTGTGAAAATGAAATGGAATGAGTGAATGAAAGAATTGGATTTGGGCAACTAGCTGGTAAGACCCTGTAAGCAAAGCAAAGTTTGGAAAGAAGTCTCACAAGGAGACTTCGAATGTGTTTGGAAAGAAGTCTCACAAGGAGACTTCGACTGTATTAGGAAAGAAGTCTCACAAGGAGACTTCGACTATGTTAGGAAAGAAGTCTCACAAGGAGACTTCGACTGTGTAGTGTATGAAAGAAAAATAGACTTTGCTTAGGGCTTTGCTGGGAAACTAATTTGGCTAAATAAAGGTACTTAAAAGGGAAAATAAGAAATAGTGATTCCCTCTCTCTCTCTCTCTCTTCTCTATGCAACCACATGGTATGTTTAAAATGTGTGCCTTCCCTAACTTGAGTTATCTGAAATTTATGGTGGGAATGACTAGGATGTGTAAAACTAAGACTTCTGTTGCTTGTCTTTGTGTATATATGTTTGTCAAAGTCTGTGTGTGAGAGGTAAATGTGACTGTTAACTGTTTCAAATCCAAAGGAAAAAGAATTTTAAAGTCTGCTAGAAATTCTGCTTAAAATAAGCCACAAAAAGGAAATACCTCACTCTGTTTGTCTGGCCAACAAACAGAGTGAAGAAAAAAAAATTGTGTTTGTTTGTTTTCCTCTTTTTCTCTGTGTACGCTCAAGAACAGCCTTAAGTTACCAGGAGGGATTGTTTTAAGTTTATCTGTTGGAAAAGTTTCACTTGCATTTACTGTATGTGTTTTATCTATCCTTTCCCTGAAAAATGTGTGTCTATCTACAAGAGCCTTTTGAAGCTCAAGTCTGCTTGTGTGGGGAAATAATTTTCCTAAGTTACTTTTCATATCCTAAAACTTACTGGTGAAACTACTATGAAACTTTTCTGAAACAAATAAGCATTTTCTAATCTCTAAAATAATGTGGTCTATTTTAGAATAAATGTTCTCCTACCCTTGGCAAGTTGCACACCTTAAAATATTAGGCTTTTAAAATTATTTGGAGTTTTCAGCATTTTCAAACTGCCTGCAAGCTACCCCCCTTCCAATTCTTTTCCTGCCCTTTGTTCTCCATACCTTTTGTCTGCCTTTCCTGGTAGAGTCCACCCAGAAAGCGGGGGGGGGGAGACCTTGTTCTTGTATCTTTCAGCCCTGAAACCCTCTCGCAAGCCTTTGGAAGCAGAACACACAGACCCAGATGCTGCCTCCATCCATGTGAGCCATGGAATTGAGTTTTGAATCCAGCCATCCACTAAAAAGCCACCATGCAATCTAAAGGGGAACATCTTCCCAAGTCCTACCATTTACCCAGATGCCTGTGAGAGCTGCAGAAGGAAGGTGGTGCCATGTGAAGCCTCAGAAGAGAAAATTAGACTATGGGGGGAGGGTGGAAACTCATTGTAAACTTTTCTTTCTTGCCCCATTTGTATTGTAACAAGCCAGTTGAATGTATTAGTGGAGAGATGGCACTTGGGAATATGTGGCAGAACAAGTACTGAACACCTTGGACTTCTATCTGGTGGGAGGGAAAATTTATACAGAATGTTTGTATTGACTATTTTGTAAAAGTAGCTGCACATACATGCACACACACACAGACACCATTCAGAATCACACTTGAGTCTATCCCCTCCACCTACCTTTAGTAAAGTTCCCCTCAGGCTGATTTTTGCTCTATTGCACCAAAGCTTTGTGGGACCAACTTCCAACAGATTCCAAGGGGGAGGGAACTAGGCCCCCTCAGGTGATTTGCAATTCATATGCCCTGACTAAGGAAGCAACAGGAAAAATCCCAAACTTCAGCCCTGAATATCTTGCACTGTTGGGCTCAGATTGGGATTCCTAGAGCTCATTATGTGCAATTTAAAGAAAAATTTAATAGCCTGGCATATTGGACATTACAAACCTGGATGCACTGAATTAAGAGCTAAGGCAGGAAACAACCCTTGAAATTGGGCAGCCAGTGGTCATGTACTAAGGAAAACCATGGCTGTGAAGAATTTTGGGAGGTATGCAAACCTGACTGGAAGCTAAAGGTGATATCCAACATTTGAAAATGATTGGCACAGAATATTGGACACTATAAATTTCTTTTCCACTTAACAAAATTTTGCCCTGACTTTTAGAACTTTATGGGTGCAAGCTCCCCTTTTGGGAGCCACTAAAGGGATCTTTTTCTGCTGCCTCCATTAATGTCTTATTTTTCTTTTTCTTTTTCTTTTTTTGCTTAACAATTCAAAAGCTTGTCTACCAAGTCTCCCTGACCAGATCAATTTTAATGTTGTGCCAATAAGTGTGTCATAAATACACACTTAAGGCACAAAGCGGGGGATTGATGAAAGTTAGCCCAGAAGGAAATATTAAAAAGGGCAGAAAAATATATTTTTCCTCAAAAGGACTTTTTAAAACCAAACTTGGCCCCAAATCTATCTCTCTGCCCCAAGCAAGACTTTAGCCCTATACAAATGCAAATGTAAAACCATCAGAAAGTTGGAGCCAGAGCAATCAAGAAGACAAAAGAGAAGATCTGCATACCCCACCCAAACTCTAGGAGTCAGCCCCATCACCTGGGAAGCAGGATATGATAACAGAATTAAACCACAGATATCAAGGCCTAGACAAACACTCAGAAACAGTCTCAAGGTTCATGCCACAGGAACAGGAAACTATTCCAAACAAAAGGCTAGGGGGGGTATAAAACCTACTGCCCATGTGCTCTCTCTGCCCTTCTCTGCCGTCCTTCTCTCCTCTGCACTTTCCTGAAGAACCATCTTTCTGCAATAAACTGTAACCTTCTTCCCAAAGCAGTCGCCATGTTTGCTTATTTATTCCTGGCTTGGATGAACCAGGATGAAGACTTTACTTCTAACAGTATTGACCAGCCAATATATGGGCAATTGGCAGCTAAATATAGTACATTACAACATCAGGAAGAAGAAATAACAGAAGTTATTGCAGAGGCTTAAAACTAAAACATTACAATCTCTGCAGTTTTAGCTTCCCCCCCAAAAAACCCATCATTCTAGGAAAGCAGCAGTACAAATATGAAGCTTTTATACAGACTAGCTTTTATAGCTCAAGCAGAAATGATTATATAAGACCCTCTATAAGGAAAAGACTGTTCCTTAGCAAGTGTAAGAGGGTAGTGGCAAGACAGGACCATGAGTGGATAGAGCAGAAGAAGATAGACATCGTGTACAGGAAATTTACAACTATTTGTTTAGTGACCATTCAAAATTACAACGGCACTGAAAAAAATAACTTTGGATTGATTTTCATACTTTTGAGGGTTGCAGCATCCCCATGGTCACATGATCAAAATTTGGATGCTTGGCAACTGGCATGATTTATGATGGTTGCCGGGATTATGTGATAACTTTTTGCGACCCTCTGACAAACAAAGTAATGAGGAAGCCAATTCATCTAACAACCCTGCTCCTAGCTTAACAACTGCAGTGATTCACTTAATAAATATAGCAAGAAAGGTTGTAAAATGGAGCAAAACTCACTTGACAACTGTCTTGCTTAGCAACGGAAATTTGGGGGCTGCCACAAAGAAGAGGGGGTCAAATTATTCTCCAAAGCACCAGAGGGCAGGACAAGAAGCAATGGTTGGAAACTAATCAAAGGGAGAAGCAACCTGGAATTAAGGAGAAACTTCCTAACAGTGAGGACAATTAACCAGTGGAACAACTTGCTTTCAGAAATCATGGGCACTCCATCACATTAAAATTGGATAAAGCCAGTGTGAAAAAGCAAATATGCTTGAAAAAAAAGTTTTATTTATGTATTTATTTTTATTTAGCCTTATTTACTTTTATAAATAACTCAAGATGGCAAACATATCTCTTTCTATTTTTCCTAATTTCACAGTAAAGATTTAATTAAATACATAGAAAATAAAAATGTATCCCAATGTTATTCTATTTAAGTGCTTGCTTTGCCTAGAATTTCCAGGGGATTATATTGCTGCCTGTATCTTGGAAGCTGGAGGTTTAGATTCCAGGTTCCCCCTCCCAGGCCTGCTCTGTAGCCAGCTGCTATTTCAAGGGAAAATTCAAGTAGCCTCCCAAACTTTTTTCTATAAATCTATTATGTGTATTTTCTGACATGACAGGATTCATCAATGGTCACAGTGCCCAATGTAATCACACCCACAAAATGAACTCTTTACAAAAGTTTAAAAAAAATCCATTAATGCACTCAGTCATATGGACATTCCTGGATGTCAGCTACTGAAGGGCTGAACTGAAAAGTGTCTGACATTCATATGGATTAACAGGACTAGGACAACTTAAAGAATCTATAGTGGCAAACATACCTAATAGTTGTAGAAATGAATTTGTTTTAGTTCAGCATCCCCCTGTTTATGTTTGTGACAAATGCCTTGGTGACAATTGTCATTCCTAATCTTTTGGTTAGTTTGACTAGGGATCTGTAGTAAAAAAGATTGTGAAGGTGCCAATTGCACGTAGCTATTTTGTCATCTTTTGTAGATCTGTTTTAGTTTCTAGTGAACCTTTTTAAATTTACTGTACAAAACCATATCCAATAGAAAATGAATTGTTTACTAGCAAGAGAGCACTTTTCTTTTACTTTTGCACTTAAATTACATGAGTAGTCCCAATTCCCTTTTTTGGTATCGTACTGATTTCCATTGCTGTTTTGCATTGTTCTCTCACTTCCCTCCTTTTTAAAAAAGATTTTATATCTGTATAAAATTATATTGTTTTTCAAAACAGTGGAATCATATGGTGGACATATATTTTATCATGTTAGCTTCTTAAACTGGTAGATGCACTTTAGTAATACAAATGTTCATATGCACATTTTCAAAACTTTCAGCATATATTTCTAAATAAATGATTCTGCAACACTAAAGCCCCTCTGTATCTGGCTGATGATCACCAGAGGGCAGGAATGCTAGATTCCTCTGCTGACATCAAACAGTTGTTTAGATATTTGCAGTAGTCCGAAGTATGATTCATAATTTCAGAAGCTGGAAAAGTAAAAACGATCAGGAAACCTGTAACTTTCAAACTGAAAAATCTGCAAATAAACACTGTCATATTAAAACAAAAACGCATCAGTCTTAAATTGTTTATTATAAAAATCTATTAATGCCTATAGCTACATGAAGGATATATTTGACCACAAAGATAATATGGCCAGAAGGCATAGTTCTTTTTGAATGGTGCAGATCTCCAACACTGAGCCGCTTCTTTGTCACACTGGCAAATTATATTTTGACATTTGTCTAGAGCAGCATCTGAAAAAAGGAATGAAGAAGATACTACTGCTGGTTTTGATGAAATAGAGTACAAAAATAAAGTAGTCCTGCTTATCTATGAAATTGGCATTTATTAAGCTGCATAATCTTAAAAGATAGTGGATTTTTCTGTTTGAAACTTTTTTGAACACCTCAAAATGGTTAAAATGAAATTCATACTGCTTGAAGGCCATTTTGGACACTAAAAAAAGAAAAACAAAATTCATGATTGGGCATTAAAGCATTGGCTGAGTGTAACAAGTTTGCATTAGCCCTCTATATCTTACAATTACATAAAGTCTTTTCAATGTATATGTTAAAACAATGCACTGTATACTCCCATATTCATTTCTATTTGTAAAGCCCTATCTCACATATCCTCTTTTAAAAACAAACATTTTTCTAGACCTTTCTATGAAAACTCAGCTTGGAATTTAAGAATCGAGAGTTATTCAGGAGGCCGGATCTCAGCAATAGGTGACTCCAGAAATCTAAACTTCTGAGTTTTATGAAGTATGAAAAAGAAAACACCTCCAGTATTTGAGGGGCTGCCACAAAGAAGAGAGGGTCAAATTATTCTCCAAAGCACCAGAGGGCAGGACAAGAAGCAATGGTTGGAAACTAATCAAAGGGAGGAGCAACCTGGAATTAAGGAGAAACTTCCTAACAGTGAGGACAATTAACCAGTGGAACAACTTGCTTTCAGAAATCATGGGCACTCCATCACTGGAGATTTTTAAGAAGACACTAGACAGTCACTTATCTGAAATGGTATAGATTCTCCTGTTTGAGCAGGGGGCTAGACTAGAAGACCTTCAGTCTATCCTATCCTATCCTATCCTATCCTATTCTATTCCTATTCCTATTCCTAAGTGGGCAAAGGATTTTAACCCTGGCTGCTCTTCTGTACTCTGAGGTAAAACTGTAATTTTTAAGAAATCCACAGTATGGTACTCTGTTAAGAGTGAAGGTATGGTGGTTAGAACGCAGCATTGCTGCTAACTCTGCCCACAGCCAGGAGTTTGATCCTGACCAGCTCAAAATTGACTCAGCCTTCCATCAGAAGGACTGAGGTCAGTAAAATGAGGATCCAGATTATTAGGGGCAATTTGCTGACATTGTAAACTGCTCAGAGAGTGCTTTAAAGTACTTTGGAGCAGTAGAAAAATCTAAGTGCTATTGTTATTGCTGTTATGGAGGTTGATGATCAAAAGCTGCTCTTTAAGTTGAGAAGTGGCCAAGAGCAAGGGCCACAGTAGGCAGGGCACTGAAGAGGGCTGGGGTTTTGCAGAGTTTTCAGAACTGGTTCATTTTTGAAAAGTTCTGTGAACCGTATCCTATAGTTTCAATGTGTCATGAGCCTCAAAAAACAAAACTGTATCACTGTTTTTAGCCATCACAGTCAAGGTGTGGCTACAATGAATGGCCTGCATCCCTGAAATCACTGGATTTTGCCCAGCTGTGGTTTATAAATTGCAGCATATAAAAATCTATAGCAACTCAACACTGCTTATATATTTTACATATTTACATATTTTGATTTCTGTCCAGAACTTTATCTTTCCATCTTCAAACTAACCACAAACTTTGGAAAACTGACAACATGCTACAAACAGCTTGAGTAAAGTACATGACATAATTTAGCATAAGACAGTATATATCTGTTGTCAATATTCAATACAGGCCTTTTTCTTACCACTACTCTCCACAAAAAGATTGAAACTGCTTTAAGTTAAGGTTATATGTGTGTGAAATTTTCCATCCCAGTAACAGCCTGGACAAAAGAACTGGCATGTCCTAGCACAGTGATTCTCAACCTTTCTAATGCCGTGACCCCATAATACAGTTCCCCATGTTGTGGTGACCCCCAAGTGGTTGTGGCCACCAATAAGAGGGATTAGGACAGCTAGGGAAAAGGGAAAAAAATGGCGGACAGCATGGTTTGGCGACCCCCGTGAAATGGCCATTCGATCCCAAATGGGGTCCCGACCCACAGGTTGAGAACCACTGTCCTAGCATCAGGCTTAGCAAAACGGAAAAAAAATGATACTTTGGCTAGGCATAGGATAGTAGTACAATACTGTTGTTGATCAAACAGTATTTTTGCATCTCTATAAGCTGAAATCTTCAAGCAGCTTTGCAAAATTTTGTTTGCATTAAAGTTGCTTACAACAATGCTATGAATCTTCCAAGATCTCTGAGAAAACCAATAGGATCTTCTAAAGTTAAAGATGACTTTTTCACCGCTAGAACAGCTGTATGTACTTGTGCATCTCCGAGATAAGGTAAATAAAAATAATGACATTCAGGTTGCACCTTACCACATATCACAGTATTGTTCTGACAAGTCCATTTATATCCCTGTATTTTAGGTTGACAGCCTTGTTGTTGTGCAAAGTCGTAACAGCAATCATGTCTATGGCAGCACCTTTCAGCAACAGAGACCGATTAATACCATTGAGGTGAGCCCTGAACATCAAGCAGAATGTGCAGCAGTGTGAAACTCTATCTCTAGTTTTACAGTGCTCTGGTGTGTGAGACATTTTCAAGTCCAATCAAGTACTTCCATGAAACTCATGAATCTGAATATTTTAAGAAGTAACCACTTCTCTGAACTCAGTTTCTTAGGACAACATAGCAACAAAGTTTATTGTTCACAAATACATTGTTCACAAATACATATTATTATATATGTAGGGGGAAAACATTAAGTGTAATATTTCAAAATAAATGCATCTCTGGTTCTACTGCAACAAGAGATCACATGGTCATACCTTTTCTTCTATTCTCTTCTCAATTTAGCAACATTATGATGACATCTGGAAAGGGTTTATACTAATCATGTTTCTGTACTGAGTGCTCATGATTATTTTGTTATTTCTATACTATTATTTTTCCAGATAGCAATAGCACTTAGACTTATATACTGCATCATAGTGCTTTACAGCCCTCTCTAAGCAATTATCAGAATCAGCATACTGCCCCCAACAATCTGGGTCCTCATTTTACCAACCTCAGAAGGATGGAAAGCTGAGTCAATCTTGAGCTGGTCAGGATCAAATCGCTGGCAGTCAGCAGAATTAGCCTGCGATACTGCATTCTAACCCCTGCGCCACCACGGCTCTTAGATATTCTTGTCTCAAAGTAAATCTGACTTCATTAAAATGTATTAAATAGAGTGGAATTAATTCATCTGAAGAATGTAATGGAAATATGAAAGAAGTAGTGTACATACCAATCTGTTTCATCTATAGGCCATCCACTTCCTCCTGGACCACAATAGCATCCGTAACTTACATAGAGAAAAGGAAATCGGTTTGTACCACATTGTAGGGTTCCGTATAATTCAATGAGTCCCCTTTTATTCACAAAGTGTTTTTTCCCAATAACACCATTCCATACTGCAAAGGCAGAAATTAAGATTTTACTACATTTGAATAGCTCCATTCTGTTTTTACACAATCTGCTTCTGCATTAATATACACATTATATCTGTGTTTGGCTGGAGTATTGGGCAGCTGTTAGAAAGAAGAGGAAGTTAAGATTAAGCTTTGGGTTGGTGTTACCTCTCTCACATCTGAGGCTGTTTAACATAGCATTTAATTATAAATCGAAGTATTTAAAATAACCTACTTGAAATAGTACTTTAGTATGACCATTAAATGTGCAGCATCAGGAGAAAAAACATTTTAGACAAAGAAAAGGAGGATACTATAAATAATGAAAATGGAAGGCCCAATCAAGTTTTTGTATTATCCCCAACTTCTACTGGCATATGGTCATGAGGAAATGCAGCCCTTTCAGAAAATAAATTGCCCATTTATGTCTTCAATATTGCTCAAGGCTTTGAGCAAATCTGCATACAGAAAGATGCACATCAACATTGATATTTTGAAGGAACCAACTTCTTTTTTTCTATGCAATAGTTTTCAACAAACTTCCTTCCTGCACATGGTGAAAGATGAACAGGGCTTTTAAGGGACTCCTTATAGGCACTATGAATATATTATATATATAGTTTATTTGCTATAAACTACGTGTATTAATTTTAGTCTATACAGTTGTCAAGGAACATGAAAATTAAAACCAGCATGCAGCAAATGATTGGTAAACACAACAAAATGGAAGGGGCAACCTTTCAACCTCCTGATTTCAATAGAATTCTTTGCCGTTTATCTTGGGCACATTTCCAAGACAAAAACAAAACTCAAAACTGAAGAACTGTTTTAAAATTCTTGCTTTTGTTTTTCAGGACATTCCTTGACTATCAAATATGCATGCCTGGAAATGCAATATTCTATTTTTGTTACACATTTTCAACCTTAATTTTAAAACTAAAGACAAATATGTGATTTTTGTTGTAAGAGGAAAATAAAAAGCTTAGTAGCAAATGCAACATCTGAGTCATAACAGGCAGGCATATATATGCTTATATAGAAACAGTCTACGTCTACTTCCATTTAAAGCATATTAAGGTATTAAAGCATTTAAAGCATATAAATATACATTGCAGAATTGCTCAAAAGTCATAGAAAGAAATACATGTGTTTGTGTGTCTGTGTGTATAATAGCAAAATCTTTCAATTTATTAGAAGAATTATATCCACCTTGAAATAGGCATGGTGATAAATTATTAGTACTGAATACTCAATATGTGAATATTTACATATTGGAAATCACAGATTTTGGCCTCCAAAGAATTAAAAAGAAACTAAGGCTGATTTTTTTTACTGATTCCTGTCACCAATCAGTTAAATTCAAAATAAAGTATCATTTCAGAAAAGTTTCAGTTTTTTAAATCAACAAACCTTTTCTGCTGACACTTGTTCAGTCTACTTCAGCCTACATGTGAAATAAACCTTTCTACAGAAACATCACTATAGAAAGATGGAAAAATGGCTACAGTGATATTTAAAGAGACACAAATACATAGAGATGGGGGATATATTCAATTATGAGAATTGCTATTTGCCTTTCTGCTGAAATACCTATTTAACTAGTTTCACCAAAGTGGTTTTAATTGTCTAATAAAATGTTTAGGTGTGACACCCACCTAACTGGAATAAGTACAATCTTCAAGTAACAAGTCTTTATCTCAGTTTGCAAGTTTTTACTTACAAATAAAACAAATGTACTATTCCCTTACTGTTTAAATGCCCAAACAAGTTATTGAGACATCATGAAGTGTTTTCATGATTGAGGACAATATGAAAAAAGTGTGCTTACTCACCTATTCAGGTCTTCCTTGCTTCACTTGAATACAGCAATGTAAGGCTCATGTAATGCATCGTCAGCATTAAATGAGGAAAACAGAAGGGGGAAAGGATCAGCATTTCTTTCAGGCCAGCACTTCCATCATTTCACATTTCATTGGCACTCACCTGCCCGAAACAGCAGCAGTCTCACCAGCCAGCGTTCCATGTGGAGATCAACTCCGTATGACCCCACTCTGTCTGCACACCTACAGTCTGTGTAGACTCTCCCTGTAGTTCTGCTGTTAAACTGAGCCAAGCAGTGGGTGTGTATAAACACTCTTACTGAATGCGCCTTTTTAGTTACTCTCAGAAATAAATATATGAATCCATAAATTTCAGACACTTCCTTCTGAGGAAAAAGAGATCTTTATTCAGAGGCTGGAGGAAGGACAGTTCTCTGATGCCAGGGCTTCTACTGTCTTTGCAGATTGTTCCTTTCATCAAGTCTTGCTAAAAAGGAATTTGACTGGATCTGCTAGACAGGTCAAGATATTACAACCACAAAGCTGGGGTTCTTTTCCTTGCAATCTCCAACTGACCTCACCATTTGTTTCACAGCTCTTAGTGTTAAAGACTTACTTCTGTAATAGGTATTGCCAGCATTTAAGCTAAAGAACTATTAAAATAAAGATGTTTTGTCTTAATGCTTGAGATTTTAGCAAGCTGTTTGAAGTGAAAAATGTAATTCAAAATCTATTTTTGAACATTAATTCAAAATTATTGGGCTTCTAATATGCCTAGGAGCTCCTTGAAACACCTGACTTTTGTTTGGGGCTTTCCTTCCTCCATGACAGCCATTTTGTGAAAAGACAAGCCTTCTCCCATGACAGACATCACAAAGGTCCATATGATTGATTATTCCAATCTCATTTTTCCTGCAACAAAGCTAACAACTTACTCCTCCTTGGAGCCAGCTATCTGTAATCCATGAACCTTAATATTCTTCAAGGAGAATTATTAATTACTTTATTGTTTAAATGAGATGTATGGTATTGGTTTGTTTCTTCAATTCTGCCAAAATTAAAAAAAACAGTAATTTTGAATGGACTTGAGGAACAAAATATACTTTTTAAGCATTGCAAAGGCTTAAGGCAGCCACTTTGCCTCTTAAAATCTTTATTTTCCAATATAAAAAAACTCTTGAAAAATATGCTCTACTTCAAGGCTGTTCTTGGAGCCCAAAGTAATCCTGGGGTCCATATTCTGCTAGCTCCTGTTCTGTTCTTTAATTTACAATATAATCCTTGTCTCCATATGGCTTTGAAAATGCTTAGCTCTTCTTCTGTTCTCATTTGCCCATAAATTAAAATTATCTTAGTTTTTTTAAGGACCCTTAGTACCTTCTATTAATTACTAAGTAACCTTTTAAAGTTTTTAAATATGCTGTGAAATTTTGTTTTAGTTACTTGGAGCGATACCCTCTTAATCGTCTTGTTCAGTGGAGGTTTACTTGTATTTCACTGCCAGGGACATTTTGTTCTGAAGTCTCTGTACTAGTTGGCTATATTGTATACCCAGGGCTCACCTGACTAAGATAATTTATATAGAAATGAATCTTAACATCAAATAGTAGACTACTCAATGATACAATCTCCTTACTATGATTACAGATGTTTCAAAATTAAATCTCAAGTTCAGAAGAGTGTTTCATTCTATCTATCTAAATTTAAAAAAATAAAAACTAATAGATGCTAACACAGAGTAAGAAAAAAAATGATACAAAGAAGTAGCTTCCAATCTTTGCAGCAATTAAAAGTACAATTATAAATGTATCTTTTGCAATGGAGTGTATCATAGTGTGTTTAAGATTATAACCTCCAGAATTAATGGGTACATTTGATTTATTTCAGGCACAAGCTGTACAATTGTCCTTAAATTCCAGTGATCCAGGATATAAGATTATCTGCTCAGAAGTTAATTCCAAATTCTTAGTATGATAAACCGTACAGCCTGAACATGTGAGCAAAAGTCACAAGGCAAGAAAGTATCAGTTTGGTCTAGTGGTTAAGGCACCAGGATAGAAACTGGGAGAGTTCTACTTCCACCTTAGACATGAAAGCTGCCTGGATGATCTGGACAGTTTCTCTCTCTGTTCAACTCTCCTCACAGGGTTGTTATTATGGAAAAAATAATAAAGGTTGGATAAAAAAATCTAAAATAAAAAAATATTCAACTGCAATATAAAAAAAAATCAAAGGAAAGTTAGTGGGAAAACAACACCCAAAGTCTCCCATCTCTCTAGAATAGGCAACTTTAACAATGACTTAGTACAAAATATAACAGTGAAGTCATTTCTCAGTTACTCAACAAAGAGACACACTAATACATTAAGTACTATTACTAAATACACATTTTCTCCAAGGCAGAAGAAAAGATTAATTAAACAGTGTAAAAAACACACATCCTTGAATAAGAAAACACCTCTCTAAAATAGGGGGCAGCGGAGGGGGAATGTGAATTTACCCAGAAGCTCCAATCTGCATTCCAGTTATTTGGAGATGTGGGCTGCATTTTCTCAATGAAAACACTTAAGATTCTCTTCTGAATCCACCAGTATGTGACTGATGAGGCCATGGTCTGCTTCATGAAGGGCCTGTAAACAAGGAATATAATATGGTATTTTAATGAGACAAAGGTAAAAATCCAGAAGTCCTAAATAAAATGAGAGGATCAAAGAATAAGCATCCCTTTCTGCCTAGATTAGAGCACTTAATAGGTTTTTCTCCTCCAGTTCAATGCATTTTATTATTCTTATATATAATCAACAGTCTACTATGTTCCATATTTTATCATTGTTTTCCTCAATTGTTTATCTTCAGTTTTATTTTAGTACACTTTGAAAGGCTTTAAAACCTTATTATATTATAAGTTTAATAAGTGAAATAAGCACCTGGAGAAATATATTTTCTTTCTAGACACCATGTTATTTTAGACAATCCAAAGCTAAAAGGGTTTGGGCATATTTACACACACACACTTTTTTTTTTAAACATCCCAAAGAAAGGAGACATTTTACATTTACTAGTTAAGCTTACAAAATATTTATAATCAAAATCATTACATCACACCAGAATAGAATAGAATAGAATAGAATAGAATAGAATAGAATAGAATAGAATAGAATAGAATAGAATTCTTTTAAATTAAAAGTAACAGACAACTAGAACCTGGCAAAACTGCTGCATCTTTGGCAATGGAAGAAAGGCACAAGGAATTCTTCCCATTCCTCATCTGTATGACAAGAAATCACAGAAGGGAGTGAATGAGAGTTGAGGCCAAGACCAACGGGACAGAAAAGGTTTTGGCGATCCTAGCCAGAGACGGAAAAGGCGATCGAGAAATAACTTTCCGCCTTTTTCTTTTAGGTCTCCAGAGTGACTCCGCCACTTTTTCAGGAAACGGAAACGCAGCCGCTGTCAGAGGGCAACTGAGAAGACAGACGCGCACTTTCAATCCGACATCCCCAAAGGCCACCAGTTGTTTTTATTGTACGCTAAACTTTAAATCCAGCTGCCCATAAAAAGACGCGGAGGGGGGAAAGGGCCTACAGCAAGCAGACCCGAGTACCATTCGCTTGCCATGCTTCTGTTCCCCTCAGCTTAAAGGGCCAGCAGCACCAAAGCAGAGCAACCACGCAGGAGCTCTCTCGGCCAAAGTGGCCCATTCTTTCAAGACCAGCAGGAAAGCACAATTGCACAGTAAGATTCGTGGGCTCAGCTAGGATTGAAAAATATTCATTCTTGCTATTTTCCTATCTTTTTTGCCCATTTATAAAATTAGAACAATTAAAATTAATCCATCATTTTCAAGTGACTGTCCTTGGTGAAACATAACAAAGAAGAGTTGGGACTACAGCAATAAGGCCTTATTATTTTCTTCAGCAACAGCGTAGAAATACCGTATTTTCCGGTGTATAAGACGACTTTCTAAAGCCTGAAAATCTTCTCAAAAGTCAGGGGTCAATACACAGGAATATACTGGTAGCTGTTCTCTGAATTTAAAACCAATCTGCCCCCTAGTGGCCAGCCCTATTTTTTTACAGAAATAAGCACTAACAGGACAAGCAAAGGACACTAGCAGCAAAGGAGCTCCTATTGTGCTCATCTATAAACAGAAATTCAATATTGTACTGTATTTTCTGGCATATAAGATGACTTTCTAAAGCCTGAAAATCTTCTCAAAAGTTGGGGGTCGTCTTATACACCCAGTCATCTTATATGCCGGAATATATGGTAGTTTTTTCAGTTGCCTTCTTCCTGTATGCTTTTTTGACTTTGCAGTTTGTTCTCCATCACTGGAATATTGTCTATGCTGCTTAGTCAAATTTAATTTATTAAAACATAAAAGTGAATTCTAGATTGAAATTTTCAATCCACATTGCTTACATCTAGTAATGAAAATAATATTTCTGCATGTCATTGGGTTGTATAGCCAATTAAATTTGCTCTCACACTTCGTTTAACCAAACAATTGTCTATGAAGATTCTCAATTATCTAGGTCATGGTTGTCCCAAAGGTGCTTTTTTAAAAGTTTTTTTAACAGAGTTCAATAATAATTATTCAACAAAACGTGTTGTCTGAGTATCTTATTCACTAATACAAATTAAATTCCTAATCCCTAAATCTTTTCTCTAACCATTTGTAAAATAGGCCCCAAGTTTGAAAATATTCTCTTTCTTTTTTTTCTTTCAATCTTAAAATAAATCTGTCCATTTCTGCAATCTAATTTTTTTATTATTATTTCTTCTTCTGGTGGTATTTCTTCATTCTTCCAATATTGTGCAAATATAATTCTTGCTGCAGTTATCATATGTAGAATCAAATATGTACTTTTCTTATCAATTTTTTCTGGCATTATACCTAGTAAAAAAAATTCAAGTTTATAATCTATGTGTTTCTCTAACATTTTTTTAAATCAAGTATGGATTATTGTCCAATATTTCCTTGCTTTAACACATGTCCACCATATATGATAATAAATACCTGGTTTATGTTTACATTTCCAACATTTCTCTGACATATTTTTAAACATTTTTGCTAATCTTGTTGGTGGCAAATGCCATCTATAAAATATTTTATATAAGTTTTCTTTGTATGAAGCTGACATTGTCAGTTTATAGTTTCTTTCCCACAAACTTTGCCATTTTCTAAATCTATATTATATCCAAAATTCTTTGCCCATACTATCATTGTCTCTTTTACTTATTCATTTCCATTTTGAAATTTAATAAGAAATTGTATATTTTTAATTAACTTTTTATCAGAAGTTAATAATGTTTGATGAAACATAGTCTGTTCTTTGTAAAATCCATACTGTTTAATATTTCAGGGGTGGAGGGAGAGGTAGATATGGTGGGAGCCAAGGGGTGGGCCATCTTCAGGGAACAAGGACTCGCTGCATTAGAGCG